AGTAGTAATAGTAGCAGTAATAGTAGTAGTAATAGTAGTAGTCGTAGTAGTAGTAGTAGTAGTAGTAGAAGAAGTAGTAGTAGTAGTAGTAGTAGTAGGAGTAGTAGTAGTAGTAGTAGTAGTAGTACAGAGCGGTTCGCCGAAGGTTGTTGTTCGTTAAAGAAGAACCGACTTGCTCGATTCCTGGCTACGCCTGAGGCCCAGAAATACTGGTCCACAGCCGAGTTCCTAGACTCGTCTGTGGCGGGCAGATCTGGACGGGCGCCGCAGCATCACCTCCGCCTTGATCAACTGGCCGCCCTTCACCATGTTGGGGCGATAGCCCGGCCCGGCAGAAGGTTACCTTCTCAGTGGTCCAGCGAACTCCTTGGCGCCCCAGACAATCAAGCCGGCCAAGTAGGTAAAGACTGTTGAGCTCGCCCCAAGCTCATCATGGCGGAAGGGCCCTGACGGTTTGCAGAGATGGCTCTTGGCTGCAGGGCTACCGTTTTCTGGGACACTTGGTATTGAGCGGTGTCGCTGAAAGCCGCCACCTTAGTCTGCTCTCTGGGGGCTTTCACTGTGGTGTTCCCCGCAGACCCCGATTGCCCTCGATCGCGAACTTTGGGCGGCGGTAATTGTGTCGGCCAACAGACCAGCCATGCTCGCGTTCGAGCAGTTGGCGAGGTTCTCCAGCAGCGTGCGCTGTTGGCTGGAGTTCAGGCGCATTCCAGGTCGGCGCACTCCCTTGCAATCCAGGCCACCTCGGCGAGCTCCTCCTCATCCAGCTCCACGTCGGAGACCTCCTCTTGCAGACGTTTATTTCCAGTGAGTCGCTCGCTTGATCGTGTTGACTCCGGGCGTAGGACCGCATGTTGATGGTCTTGACGGAGAGGCCTTTGCATCCTTGCAGCCCATATTCCCATGGCGTTGTTTCCCCTGTTTGCCTCTTCCATGCTAGCTGCCAGCGGCATCGGTTGCAGCGGTGAAGGATAAATGCAAGGCATAAACTGGGGGCGGTGGTCACCCATGGCTCACGTTGTGGCTCCGGGTCATCGGCCTGTAGGCAAACAAAGCATGAATGCCCACTGTTCGCCTGCAACATGCACGACTCTCGCCTTCTTCGCAACTGGGTCCGGGGCGGAACGCCTGAGTGCATGTGTAGAGCTGGCAGCGCAGCAAAACTGCAAGGTGTTATAGGGGTCTAAGGTGGAGGCGACTCTGGCGGTGCGCCCTGGCCCTTCCCTTTTCCCAGGAAAGTAGACGGACTTGGGAATGGGACTGAAGGGGGCTGTGCGGTGCAGAAGCATTCGTCTCTGGAGGTCCAGTTGACGTCTCAGTCTGGGGTGCATTTCTGGGGCCATGTTTCGGTTTCCATGTAGGCGGGTTGTCAAAATTATGGTCCTTTTTGGGTCCTTACTAGAAAAACGGCACCTATCATTTATGGTACCCCAAAAGGAACAACGCATAAAGCTGTGCTTCCTCTGCTGAACTGCTCGTCTCAAGCTTGTCTTGAACCTTGGTGCGGGTTGGTCAACAATTAAAAAGCCATCACTGTATATATAGCAGTAACAGGTAGCAGTAGCAAGTGAGTAGGTAGTTGTACATCGGTATTAGTGAGTCGTGGGCAGCAGCAGGTGGTGGGTGGTGGCAGCTGGTGGGGCAGCAGTGGTCGTCGTAGCAGTGGAGGAGCAGAAGTGGCAGCAGTGGTGGGTAGGAGAAGACATAACAGTTTGTGGAAAAGAAAAGCGTTGTGGTAACTCTATTTAGGGTACTTATAAGTCTACTTTTTAACCCACTTACTAAGTCCCCGGGCCTCCAAGTGCTTGGTTGTGGTGGTTCCCACAACGCCGCTGTCGTGGAAGAAGAAAGAAGGCAGCAAAGTTGCAACGGAACATCGAAGCAAAACTGGAAGTAGAAAGTGTTTTTTGTGTGGCAGGATAGAAGCAGCAAAAAGCACATCGAAAAGCGTTGCCAGGATGCTGACTATGCGCAGCCGCAGCCTGGGCAGTTGCGCGCCAGCATTGGTGACAGCTGGGGCGAGGACTGCTGGACATATTTGGCGCATCATGCAGAAGCATGCTTCGTGCCACTCATCATCAGCGCAACAGCTAGCTGTGTTTGCGATTGTTCAGAGGCATTTTTCACTTTCTTGATGAAAACGAACAAAGTTGTGCTGTCCGTTGTCGCAGTGGTTCGTTTTGCGGACTTGCTTCACTGCTCTGATGAGCAGTTCTTTTAAAGAGATTGAATCAAACAAACTCTCGCTTGCTAGAGTTTCGTTGGAACATCAAGTGGGGGCTAAACCTTCGTCACAAACCGATGCAAATGCTCCTCCTAGACATCCCGGCGCTGCACGGGGCGGTGCCCAATCGACTGCCACCAGCCCAGCCCAGCCCAGCCCAGCCCACCCTCCCCTCCCCTCCCCTCCTCCCTTTTTTTAGCTGGCCATTCCAAGGATTTGTTCCAAGGGGCACATGGTGTAGTGGTATCACATCCGCTCCGCATGCGGAAGGCCCTGGGCTCAATCCCCAGTGTGTCCATTTCCTTTTGCGAATAAGAGAAAGGCCTTCTCAACGATGACTTTTTTGAGCAAGGCCAGAAGAACGTTTTGGCTGGCTTTCAGCTATTGAGTTGTTTTATGCGACACCTTGGCCTATCACCCGCGAAACTGAACCGCGAGCCCCAAAAGCACTCACCAAACTGCATACTCCGAGTGGGTTGTCATTGCTGATTTGCACTCTGGTTTGCACATGCGACTTACGTTAAGGGAGGGCGGAAGCTTGACTGTTGAAACCATGAGCGCCTGAAGCTTGAATCAATCACATGGCGGCAAGGACCGAGTCGCCTAATGAGTAAGCCCCTACGGGGGCAGGCAATGATGGTGGTTCGAGTCCGGCCTGGGTCGTGTCGAACTTGCCGGTTCGAAGTTCCTTCAAGCATTGTTTTCAACCCTTTTTTCTCGCTTCCATCACTAACTCAGTCTTGTAAACTGAAGGCCAAAATTCAACGCAGACGCTGCGGAGCTACATCTCACCAGCAGCCCAGAAAACCTTCCCAAGGGGCGAAATTGATAAAGCAAGCTCAGAGACTGGTGAACCAAAACTTCTGAACCAGACTAAGCAAAACCCCAGAAAAGTTGTTTTTGCACTTACAACATGCACACATGCATGCCATGTAGAGCAAACAAAGTCCACATAGAGGCCTCCTCCAGTCCAAGCAGGACTCTTCTGCAAGTCCGTGCGTGACATCATTGCATCGGATAGAACGAACATCACGGGAAAATCGGGCAGTAAAAACATGCTTATTGCCCAGCGGCACCACCTCCATTGGAGCTTTCCTTTTGGACATGAGCCGACCCCGCCAACAAGTACCAGAACTAGGACGACTGGGCCATGTTTGATGAGATGAACAAGTGCCCGAAGACCAAACGAAGGAGGACAGTGGAAATGACAGTGGAGAGCGGAGCTGAGGGAACCACATCATGCCAAGCGAACCTTGCAAAAGGATCGCCGCCATTCCAGGCGAAGCGGCCGTGATGTGATGTGATGTGATGTGATGTGATGTGATGTGATGTGATGTGATGTGATGTGATATGATATGATATGATATGATATGACAATATGATATGTTTTGATATAATATAATAATATGAAGTTTTTTATATCACAGAAATGTATATATAAATTCCCGTGTGTGGCTTTTGCACGGGGGCAATGCCCCTTCTAGAAGAAACTAGTTGTAGCCGACTCATTGCCCTTGCAATGGTCGCAGAGGAAAGCTGCTTGCACATGTGCCATCATCGATTCCATATTTACTTATACTTTTTGCGGCCTGCATCCACATCACATCACATCACATCACATCATAATATATCATATTATATTTTGTATTATGTATTATATACATTATGTATTATTTTTATTATTATACATTATATATTGTATATTGTACATTATGGAAGCTATATTGTACGGCTTATTATATTATATTATATTATATCATATTCTATATTATATTTTTCATTATATATTATAAATAAAAAAATATATATTTTTATTTTATATATTATTTATTATACATTATTTTTTTTCTGTTATATGCTATATTATTTCATATGCTATTATATTATGATCTGATGTTATGTTATGTCATGTAATGTAATGTAATGTTATGTTATGTTAAGTTAATTAATGGTTAAGTTAGTGGTTAGGTTAACGGTTAGGTTAACGGTTAGGTTAATGCTGAGGTTAATGCTTAGGTTAATGCTTATGTTAATGTTAATGCTTTATGTTAATCGTTTGTTGCAGCACGCTTGAGAGGCGAGGAGTGTTGATGTTTCTGTTGGCCAAAAAGTCGAATCGCAAACAAGTCTCGCCAAAGACAGCGAGACAATTAACACAATGCTTTAAGCGGCTGATAGCCTGTGTTTCTGGAAACAACACATGAAGCCAACAAAAGATTTGTCATGACGTTCATCCGAAATTGTTCCCCGTGGTTTGCTTTTTAGTGCAATTCTT